AAAAAAAAAAAAAAAAAAAAAAGAAAAACCACAGCTGTTAGTCATTCAGGCATTTGCTGCAAAGTTCAAATGCCTCGAATTACTTTCGCTTTTTGTCACGTCACTATCATAAGTCTCAGATCAACACAAAATAAATGCACAATGTCAAGTGGAAAGAAATGATACTTTATTTTTAACATATGAAAAAATCTGAAAGCGTGGAGTGGATTTGTGTCAAGACTCTAAATAAACTCCAGTGTGTTTCTTTTGTCTCCTGAGCAGCAAAAAGTGTCCTCCTGCACTTGGATGTAAAGTTCTCTGAGGTTTGATTGGAAAAAACATTAGTTAACAAACAGCATCATGAAGACAAAGAAACAAAGTATCCTGTATCCAATTCAGGGCAATCCAAGAAGAAAACCACTTGGAGGTCAACATTCCAGCAGGCGGGCAACAATAAACTTTCAGTCAGAGCTGTAATGGTTACGCTTTGACTAGAATGACTTAGTCAAAGTCCAGAGCTAAGTCCAATTGAAAATCTGTGGGAAGAGTTAACAACTGACACTCAAAGATGATCTATGTTGTGTCTGAGTTATTCAGATGTGGAAAGTTGTTAAAAGGACAAAATCCAAATGGGTGGCAGCTAGTACTTTGTATAGGTCGGTCACTTAAAATCCTGGTAAAACAGGCAAAAGTTTGTGTTTGTAAGGTGGAAAAAAAATACTAAAGTGTTCTAGGTTGTAAATACTGTTGAATAAGCACGCTACTATCACAGCATATTCAGCAAAGCTGGCATTAAGGAAGAACTGAAACGTGTCAGAAGAAAATAGTTCCTCAGGTAAGTCATCGCTCACCTGGACAGAAAAGCTTGGTGTTGTTTAATTGTGTCCAGTTCGTAGGTCGACGAGTCGCTTCTCTTGCGTGGCAGCTGCTTCTTGGTGTCATCGCTTGAACTGACACGAGGAATATCAATGTTGCTGCGACTCAGGTGGCGGCTGCTCTCCAGTGTTGGGGATGATGACCCATGTCCGCTGTTGACGATGATGCCGGGAGAGAGAAGGTCCTGGTCCTACATGAGCAAACCAGGAGGACGAATCATGACGACAGAAAGAAAAAGAAAGAAAACCTCGAAGAAAACCTCAACAACTTACAGACGATAAATGTGTCCATGAGCGGACCAGTTAATAAAAACTGTGTCTGATGTGCCTTTAGGATCCTACCTGCACGCTGATGACGCTGCCTCTGCGGCTGCTGTTCTGGCTTTCATTTACCGTGGGGGTGCTGTTACAGAGAACATCAAACCCCAATATTCCTCCCACACAGTCCCCAATGAGGCAAACCTGCACAGGAAAGACGGTTCACATAATATCAAAAAGTAGCAATAACATATTGTGCTGTATAAAAGTCTTCAGTCATTGCATTTTTAAAAAGATTTTCACCTAAGTAATCCATTAAAGTGGCCTTAGTCAACAGACATCAAATGTTTCTGAAGGTTAATCAAAGAGTATCTTTGGTCTTTGGCTGCTTTGTGAGTATTTTCTGGTTCAATGTCTGATTACTGATTAACTGAAGGATGAGCCAGATTTGTATCTTGTTTTTTGAAGACAACTTTCAGATGTCCTCCACCTGCAAAAGCTTTTTGGATGCTTGATGCTTCTTCTTTTATTCTTCTCTTGCATTTATTTTTAAAGCACACACGGCACAAAAGGTACACTGAGTGGACTAGAAATGGTTCAACTAGAGAACTCTAAAAAGTCTGCAGAACTACAAAGCAAGACCAAAAAGCAGAAGCTGCTATGTAACAGATCAAGACAAAGTCTTGCACAATAGTAGAAGTAGAACTAAAAGTAACGCATCGCTTTAAATTCTTTTAAAAGTAAAATATCGGCAAAAAGCTGTGTGCGTTTGTATTTTGTCCCCTTTACTCTGATACCTCTAAATTTAACAACCTGCTCTCAGAACTCACCTAAATAAATTTGTAAATAAAGTGCAACTGTGCATAACTTAGCCTCAGTATAAAACCAGCTGCTCTGAGAAGACCTCAGAGGTTCATTAGAGAACAAACAGCGGATAGTTCAGGGATAAAGTGGCTCCAAAAGACTTGGACTGTGTAAAAAGTTTCCAACTGAGAATCTGTAGAAGTTTGAATTGTTGTTCAGATGCTTACAGTCCAACCTGACTAAGATTGTTCCATTTAGCAAAGAAAAATTGCCAAATATTTCACTTTCTAGACGTGCAAAGCTGGTAGAGCGAGACATACTCTAAAGCACTTGCAGCTGTAATTACAGCAAAAGGTCGAATAAGGGGAAGTGAATGCAAATTCACATGTTGGGTTCAGATCTGTTTATCTTTACTTGTAAAATTTTTAATCCACTCAACAATAATGCACCACTTTGCATTCGTCTACCACATCCCGACAAAACATGCTGAAGTTTGTGGCTGTAAAACGTGAAGAGTAACTTTACCAGCAAAACTGTCAATAAGAACCCACTCTGAGAAAAGAACAGCACTGCCCCGGTTCTGAACTCCGTCTGACCTGGCCAGAGAAGGTCGCTCCATCCTGAGACTTCATGAAGTCGGAATACACCTGGTTGGCGCGAACAATGACAGTGGCCACGGCGTCCTGGTACTGTGGAGACGAGGTGGCCAGCAGAGGCAGAGCTGCGAGTGGGATGTGGTCCTGGCTGCTGGACAGGTATCCCTCATCATAGCTGTAAGGGCTCAGGCTGCAAAAAGAGGAAGGAGGAGCTTAAGTAAATAAACCAAGGAAGAGGAGGATGACCTGAGTCACAAGCTGGACTTTTATATAAGAGAAACAGCCGTCGTAGCCGATGACAACAAACCCTCAGTCAAAACACTGCCTGGAGCCTGCAGATATAAATGTGTGCAAGCGTTTTCTCTTACTTGGAGACAAGAGAGAAGGCCTCGGCACAGATGGCGGGGCAGGGCACCAAGCGGATGGCGATGCGTCCGAGCGCAGCGGGGTAGTGAACGCGCATGACTGTGTCGAACGCCGTGCTGATGGTGTTGACGTCAGCCTGCTTGCTGCTCTGGTCCCCTCCGCCCGTGTCCAGGATGTTCCCTCCGTGCAGAACCAGTATCAAGACGTGGATCTTGGAAGGCTGCAGACTCTGCTGAGATGAGCTCTCCTAAGGGACGGCAGAATTGCGACAAAGGTTGATGAACAGAGAATGTTTTGATACTTTGCTTGGTTTTTATCATCATGACCAAAGACAGAGGCTTTTCCCCCTTACTAATAAAAAACGTCCCTCAGTTATTGTTGATGACATTCTGCGTCAGGCTTTCCAAACATGGACCACAGAGCAGAGCAGACTTCTGTTCACAACCATAGAGGGGCAGAGGACCATGAGAGGGGGAGACAGAGCAGAGCCACCCTCCACCTGTATGACAACAATCATGCTTCTGGAGGATGTCACAATAAACTGCATGGAGTAATGTGTAGTTTTGTCTTGCGTGTCCGATCCAAAACTTCACATTGTCAAAGAACCACCATAAACGCACACTCAATGCCACGACTGCAGGTACAAGCGAGTTGAACAGAGGGTGGTGGGGTCGAGGGGTACACATGGATCTGGGTTTGGGCAATGGCGACGGAAAAGGGAGGAGCAGTCAGTACTGGGTGGGGGGAGGGCCTTCCTGTGGGACTTAACCCTGCCCCAAGGTGCTATGGGGCCAAAATGTTTACTTACTGACTGGTGCCTCGTTACCGTGATGGTGGGGATAGGAGAGCTATCGGCTTGGCCGCTAAGAGAGTCACGCATCTGAACACAAGAGGACAGAAAGGCTCAGGGACAAACGGCCTTTCTCTTATCCTCCAAAGTGTAAAGTCTCATAAACCCAGCTGAGCTAAAGGTCATCGTTTCTATTTAATTTAGTTTTTAGGCTAAAAATGGACAGTAGCAAGTTTGGGTTGTGGGATTTCTTTCTTTTTTTTTTTTTTGGTATTGTTATTCAGGAATGGAGCTGGGCCTTATGACTGAAAAAACACATTTTACATCAGTCAATATTGATTAGTTTCTTGTTTTAAATATCTTAAATACTGCCAAACTGGTGATGTGACCTTTCCTGCTTTATCTGCAGTTTCCTTTCAAGCTGTTGTATTCATTTTATCCTTTCACTGCACGCTGTTGTTTTTTTATTTTCAAGTGGTGAAAACTTAAACTACTGTTGTGCAAGTTACTCAAAAGGTTGTTGCTAGGTAACCACAAGTTGTTGCTCGGTAACAAAAGAGTGAGTGAGTTAGTTGATGCCACAAACGTTGTTTAGCTGGCTGCAATAGGTTGAGCAGCTGAACCGTTTCCTTTGCCTACATCCCCCAGAATGCTGTGCAGTTCTGGGTGGATGTTCCATGAAATTAATGGAAACTCTATTAGAAATTGTCTATTGATATTAATATCTATCACAATATGGATTGTTATTAATTTATTGCCCAGCCCTATTCATGCATGCTTAATATTTGACAGGGCACCATCAGAAGAAGCTGGATTAGTTTCTGAAACATATCCACACGCGTACCTCATCCAGTCTGTCCTCGCTCGATGCTCTGTCATAATCGACGCTCATTTCCTTAAAGTTCTCTGAAAACACAGGTTTATGCACACAGTTAAGTCAGAGAAGAGTTCCTGTTGGGGATGAAGCTTCGGTCAGCGCTGCTCTTCGTACCAGGACTTTCCTCCGTGTCCACAGTTTCAATCTTGTCCATGAAGTCGTTGGAGTTCCACTTGGCAATTTCTTTTGGGAAAACCTCCTCACCATCCGAGAGATCCTCTGAAGACACAAAAACAGAAAACAGAGTGGGATTAAACAATAATTAGTTGCGTCTCCATTGAGTGCTGGCTATTTTTTTTAAAAATATAAATCTCCATTTCTCATTCAGTCAGTGCTGTAGCTTTGGTCAGTTAATACCTGGCTGGCTTTTGTATTCAAAATGGAGTCACCTTGTATGGGACCTTTGTCTGATTTTTAAATTCCTAAAATTTTAAAAAAGCCTGACAACCAACAATTCAAAGAGATTTCTCATATTGCACTGCCAGTACACTAAAAGGACATAGTAACTCATATCTACCTAAGGATGTTCCTTTTGGGTTTGATTAGAGTCATCTAAGTCCAACAGGAATCAGAAATTAATCAGTAGAAATAGGGTGAAATCAGGACTTTTCAGAAATTATCCGTTTTTCATCCAATAAACTGGTATTCTTACAGCACATTCTTAAGGAAGCTTGAAGGTTTCAAATGGACAAGAGTGTTATTAAATTACATTTATAATTTACTCTATGGGAACATTTCAGTGATGCGCTCCTTTTTTAACATATAAAGTTCATTTCGCTACACCATAGCAAAATGAAATGCAGTGCGAGGAATCAATTCACATCCAGAAAACCCACAAGAAACACAAGAAAATTCATAAGAAATCCCGACAATCACAAACTTACAGTTTTACAAGGTTCTCCAGAGAGTAAACACAAAGCAGACAGGCAACATCCATAAACAGTCTGGGACAAAAAGTGATTTCAAAGATGTTTTTATTCACCATGTGATTTTTTTTTATTTATTTATTTTTTTTGCAAGACTATAATATTGTGTGCAAGCAGCACACAGTAACTACTGTCATTTGTTACTGATATTTAACAAAACATAGGGCCAAAAATGTATATTAAACGTGATTAACATCAGAAGTTCTTGAGCGGAAATTTCTTTCATCATTCTGCACAATAAATAAGGTTCTTTTCTCAAGTTCACCATCCTACACTCACCTTTTAACATCTTATTTCTAGCAGCTTCTCTGACATTCTTGACATTTAAATAGCAAATGTTAATTAGGCCCGAGCAGCGAAGCGCTCCGTAGGCCTTTTGTAATTTAAATTGCATCTGCAAAACAACTGAAATTGGCTTCTGATTTTGAAACACAGAGATATTTTAGTGTTCTTAGATAATCCAGACTAAAACATTAGCTCTATAACACTTGGACTTGTGAAAGCAGGAATGAATTACAACAAATGCAGATTCTTTAAAGCAGCTCGTAATCTTTGATATCTTTATTCTGCTTAAACTGCTGCTTCAATTCCAACAGCAGCAGTTTTAATGCTTTGGTTTTTTATGCTAAACAGAGACATTTAAAATAGTCAAGAGACCAGAGAATGGGTAAAAGATTCAGTCTCGGCTTTAAACGACAGAATTTCTGTATGAATGTAGGGGGGAAAAGGATTGGGACAGAACTGTGCACTGGGACACAAAACAAGGTCCACAAGGAAACAGATGACACTGGGTCCTGACCTCAACCTGACAGAAAAACTCTGGGATAAACTGAACATGATTCATAACTTTCTGTTTCAGTTTGGGACAAATATATGAGACACAGCTTTAATTCTTCAAAATGGGGGAAGACAAGGCAAACATGTGTTTCACAAGTGAGGAAATATTCACTCACCTAGACTTGCAAAAATACACTATATTCAGAGCTGTGAGCAAAAAAATATTTTAAAAGAAGTGGAACTTTGCCAATCAAAGCCGGTTGGAGCAACCAAGTAGCGCCAAGCATAATGAACAGGATGATAAGAGAAGTAAAATATCTCCAAAGCTTGTTACTGGAGATCTGCAGCAGAAAGTTGCATCTTGGGGGTCACAGAGTCTCCATAGCAACCGTTTATTTTAAGACTTTAACACATTTTTCCAAGAAGAAGAAATAACTCTACATGCTGCTGCAAATGAGCAAAAACAGTCCCAATTATACTTTATATAACTCCTAGCATCACAGTTACCACGAACACTAATTGTTGTGAATTCATGACTGAAATTAATATATTTTCTGATTAAGAAAAAAAAAAAGTATTTGATATTAAGCATATTTGCTGCATCACTTATAATCAGTTTCTGGAAGCCAGCAAAAAGTCTATGTAGTTCCTGTTTTCCAGTCACAAGCAGAAACAAGTTGAAGTTAGAATTAGGGCTGCAACTAAAGATTATTTTAGTAATCGATAAATCTATCAATTATTCTGACAATCAATTAATCATATTTTAAAATTCTGTAGACTTTCATTAACCACTACTAAAACATTACTGAATTAGTTGATTAGTTCAATAACTGATTAATAATGATTAATCTTTTCTGTCTTGGTTGTAAAAAATGGAGATTATTGCGCTAGAAGAGTCAGAGTGAAAATAATAAAAATGCAAAATGTTGAAGGTTTGTCCTCGTTTCACATGACATCATCAGACAAACGATGGTTTCCAGAGGGACGCTTATTGCTTGGACGTCTGTGTGCATTTAAAAGAGCCGAGTGTTTTGGTGAACTGATTCCTGAGTTGGACGTCAGGAGGAAAGACGTGGCCCCAAGCCTCCAGCCAGCTCTTCCTTCAGGGGAGCGTGGTTGCAGCACCACACCCTCCTATTGCAGCTGCAGAACCAAAGCATGCTGGGCATCTGGGAAGCTTAAAAGCTGAGCTGCAGCTTTTAAGCTTGAGCAGTTGAAGAAGAAAGAAAGCAGAAAAATAGAGCAGTTTAAAGAATGTTTAGCTGAGAATATAATTTACCATGGGCGTCAAAGAATTCCTCGTCCGAGCTGTCGTCTGAATCGCGCGCTATGCTCTGCATCCTCCACTCTGAGATGCTGTGACGCGATGGGCTCACTGTAAAACCACAAGAGGCAAAATGATCGCTGTTAATTGGGGACATGTGTTTTTTCAGCCTCTCTCTTTTCTTTCTTAACACATACAGAAATACACTTCAACAAAGCAGCTGTTGCCCACACCCCCCGCAAAATCTCACGCACAAACACAGCGTTACATAAACATGCTGAGAATCTCTGTGGTAGTGCTGCTGTCCTGCAGATGAGATGGGCTGCATGGTGGTCAGGGGTGATGTGAGAAAAGTGAGGCCCAGGCGAAACACCCAAAACCGAGGGCGGAGAACGCCAAGAGTCGTCCCCGTCTGTCACAAACCTATAACCGACACCTCGTGTATCATTAGAGCGGCGGAGGAGAGGGGGGCACAGCTGTGGCTGTCAGGACAGACAAAGCAGCAGCAGCGGAGGGGAGAGGGGGGGGCTCGCGTCTGCCTCCTCAGATCTGTGATGTCAGCACTGCTGCTAAAAATAGCTGCATGGAGAACCACGGGTGGTGATGGGGATCATGGGGGGGAAGGGGAGGGGGAACGAGGCATGCAGGAGTCAGGGGCCACGAGGAAGACACAGCGAGTGCTACCTTATAGAAGGGACGGCACATGGGTGTGTTAGGTCACGTGATCTGTGATGTCAGAGGCGATGCTAAAAATAGCACGGCTCTGAAGGAGAGAAACTGCTGAAGTTGGACAGTCAGTCAAAAGGTGAGGGCACGGGGAAACACAGGCTGCTCTTCATCCGACTGTAACGCCGCCTATAAAAGCCCGAGCGGCTACACCTGCAATCCAGTTATTCAGTTACATTAAAGTCTCTTTTTATATGTCGTTTTATCAAACTGCTCGCATAGAGAGCAGGTCCAAGGGTTACAGATGCCACAACATGATAAGACAGTTTCCCTCCATATTTAAGGGAATCCCTGCTATGGATGTGAAAATGACCTGAAACTAAAATAGTCACCAAAGAAGAAGATAAAAAAACAACTCTTTTGGTAAATAATACCATAATTCTGAGTGTGTATATGATCAAAGTAAAAATGTTTGGCATTGAAATTGAACATACTGTTTCACAACTTCAATCTGAATCTACCTACATGACTTAATTTTACAGGATCAACTTCACTATATATTTATAAAATCGATCTATTTATGTTTTATAGTGAAGATGACATTGGTTCATTTGTTCTATATGATTGAATTGAACTAAATTTATTTCAGTCAAAAACATTTAATCTGAATTGAATTGTGAAAAACAAGACGGGACAATAATTCAATTTTATCTACCCACCACAGGCAGTGAGAAAAATAGTTAAAAAAAAAAAAAAAAAGGTAGAGTGTGAGACTCTGCTGCTGTTATAAAAAAATATATATTTTATGACTTTCTCCACATCCTTGCCCTTGTCAATAATTATAGGAGTTGGAGTACAAGTCGAGCTTAAGAGTGTAAATGTAAGAGCTGGCCCTGAAATAATTTGTGGGTTTTGTAGTATTTCATATTAAATTATTCATCATATATTTTTTTTAATGCCATCATGTAAAGCTTTGTTCTAGGGTGGTTAATATATCACACACTTCCAGTTTATTTCCAGAAAGACGTCAGATCTGTAAAGCATGTTTTAGGAGAATTTATCACCAGAGCTGCCAGCAGGTTCACATTTCTGGGCTCCTACTTGATTCAGTCGGAGTCAGAGAAGAGGAGGCAGCTGCAGCCGTGAAGTAGTTTTTCCACCTGAACGGTGCAGCTGCAACTCCAAACAGCTCCCATGGGATGGTCAAGTGAAAAGTAACTAACACATAGGTGCAGAGCTCCAGTATGTCTCCGGTGTAGTAAGTATTTTTTATTTTTTTTTGCTTATTCCTTTGTTATTTGGAATCTTTATTTATATAAATATGGGAAATCCCATTCAGGGAAATCCATCCCTTTTTCTTATCACAGAGGTCAGATATTTTTGTTTTGCTCTATAACCCAACTGCCGTCAGATCACAGTTCTTAAAGTGTGTTGGTGAACAGCCAGGGTTTCTGCAGGTTTCACCAAATTTAAGACTTTTTAAGACCATTATGAATGGAATTTAAGACCTATGTTTACACAACTTTGCCCAGACATCTGAATTTTCACGTATCCATAGAAGATACAAAAAAACTAGCTAGCTAGCAAGGGTATTTTAGCAGTGAGCTACTGGTAGCCAACATTTTAAGGTTCTGTAGTTCTAGATCAGTTTCATTGATGAATGCACACAATGACTGATGTGTCAAAAGATTGGGAGAGACCACGGGTGAAGAGCCGTTCACCTCCTCTCTTGGATGAGCGGGAGGATCTGGATGAGGTGGACCACTGCTTGGTGAGGACGCCTCGAGGCTGCAGAGTCTCTACTGATCTGGTGGCCGTTTCCTCTGCCTCGATAGAGCTGATTGCCTCTTTGGCCTCCTGCTCTTTGTCTGGAGACACTGTGCTTCCGTTGGATTCGGAGAGCTCCTCGCCATGGAGAAACTTGGCCATCTTCCTGGCCAGGGCCAGCTGGGTTTCCAGCTCCAGCTGCCTGATGTCGTCCATGGTTAGGCCATACCACTCGTCCTGCCAGCACCAGGCCTGCCGGTGGGCATGCACCATAACCTTTCTGAGCCCTAAAGGGAAACAACAGGCAGACCAACGTATAAAACAGGCTTGCAGGCTCTGAAAACAGAAAACGGTGACGGAAATCCAAAGCTCTGCTCACCAACATCATGAATGAAGCGTTCAATCTTGGACTGCATGCCCCAGTAGCGAAACTCCACTTTGCAAAGTTTATAGGCACACATGATGGGAGTCTTCCCTGGGTTGTTTTTGTACTCCTCTATCCAGTCATCCTGCAGGGGCCCCCTCTGGGTCTTGGCTGACGCGTAAAGCTTCGGGTCCTCCTCTGAAGTGTACTCATGTGGGGGGATGGGATCTGCCACTATGTCGATAACGTCTGCCAAAGAAAATCGGGTTTCAGGCACCAACAACTGATGGAGTCAGCTGTTTGGAATGAATGTCACAACGGCTTTAGTGAAGTTTTATAATCATGTTGTAATGTGCACAGGAGGGCAGGAGCAGAACATGCTTAAGACTGACTTAAAACACATTTGCATTCTTTTCATAACCAACTTTCAGTCTAACGGCATCAGTTACATAAGGAGCAGTGACTGACTAAAATCATTACAAATAACATCAGAACTAGGTCACCGTGTGCTCTACAAGCACTTATTATTTTTTTATTGTCGTGTGATGGGAAGTTTTTTCCAAACACAAAAATGATGCTGCGCCACTAAAGTGCCACAAGTGGGCTTCATTCATTCACTGCTTATACTGACAGACCTTCAGACAGGAAAAAACAACCAAACTAAGATTAATAATGAGCCCAAAAATGTTGTACAAATTAGCGTGTGTCCGTCTCAAAAAATATAAATGTTTTTAAATGTAGATTAATTTCTATAAAATTGTTGAAAAAGTGAAACTAATCTGCTTCGAGCAATACTTTCCAAGCAATTATATCTGTTAAGTTTGATTATTGGGGTTAACAGCAACCCAAAGCTCAGTTTCTGTGAATATTACATAAGGGGACCTAGAAAAGGGTTGTCCAAAGTGTGGGCCGGGGGCCATTTGTGGCCCTAGGAATAATTCTGTGTGGAACCGACTGCAGTTCAAGAATGGTACAAAATAAACCCTCCAGCAAAAGGAGTTGAAGCAGATGATGTAATTTTTTTGGGATGAGAATTACAATGACAGACACACATCTTCATAAATTGAAAATTTTAGGCACAAGAGAAGGTATTTTACTTTTGTTCCCGGTTGGCCGGTGTATCTAACTAAACTAAATCGAACTACCATTAACCTGATCATGCAGGTTCAGCCTGGTGAGGAGCTTTCGTGCTCTCCTGTCTGTAACGCATAACGCTGATTTTATGTTATTGTATTTAGTATTATTTTTTCGGTTACACAATACATCAAACCGTATCAAATGCTTTGT